GTCCTGTGTCTCCCAAAATCCAGAAGTGAACGCCTCGTCTAAAAACCAGAACATTGCAAGCAGTGCTTCGTAGTTGAAGGGGGACACTGGAGAAGTGTTTATGCTGAAAAAATAACAAGGACCAACTTTTGGGTTGAGGCGTTGGGGAAGATAGGTGCCAAGGCGTTACCGCCTGCTTGCGCCTTGGAGCGGCAAAAATCCGGACCGCGTGGCCTGGTACAAGCACGCAGCTCATGCATGAAAAATGCCGCCATACGCGAGCATTTGCCATGTGCGAGCAACTGTTTCAGTCGGTTGTGGCAGGAGTTGGGCAATCCAACTTCTTACTTACTTCAGTTCCGGCGGTTTAGATCTAAACACTATTGTTCACTTGGCTTGTTGCCGGTCCGATGTTCGTAGTTTGCCGACATCCACACACAAAACTTCCCCGGCAAGGTACTAGGGACCGATACCCTAAACCCACAACCCACATTCCAAGCCTATAGATATAATATAAAGCCTTAATAATTAGAATAGGGTATTGGTGTATATTACACTCTCCAAGCAGTTTTGTTGTGGTTGGAATTGAGGTTGGGCGTTTTGCAGGTTCTAGGTTCCCACGCCTGCTTTTTAGGGGGGGGGGGCAGGGCGGCCTAAAAACTCCCGACAAGCATAAAAAGTTTAAACTTTTTTTGAGCTGGAGAAAGGCTTAGTAAGTAGTAGTAGCAGCAGTAGTAGTAGTAGTAGCAGTAGTAGTAGTAATAATAATACTAATGTTAATAGGCTGTGGTGTATAGATTAGTTTGTTTTATCACACAGAACAGCAACACATTACACGTAAAAGATTCCTGCCATGCGTATATATATATATACATGCATATACAGTGGCTTTTTGCACTTTCACAGCACCCCTCAAGGCTTTATATATGCCGCGTGACTTTAAATGTTATGTTTACACATGTATGCTTATGTAGACATGCTCGGGCACATATGTATACATCGCAGCCATTGCCACCTCAAGAGTGAAGCAGGTAGCGCGAAACAATTTGTAACGATGAGTTTTCCCGATTCTTCAACACCGGGGCTCAATCGTGAACTGGGGGGTTTGATGGTTCTTTGACCTTTGATGAAGCCGCCGTTCAAGTCAATGGTCTACGGTTGAACGGCTTAGAATCAAGACCAGTTTCATGTATCCGCGAACCCGGGAAGTCAAGGTCGGAGCTCTTGCTGCTCGCTTCCTTGAGATCTCCTCAGGCAAAGTCGAATAGTTTTGTGATGCGGTGCAGCAGGTCACGGTCTTTGAGGACAAGTTTGTGAACGAACGCAGCACCGCAAATTACAATGCTCTACCCGAACCGTTTCCCCTCCGTGCAGAACCAAAAGTGCCGTATACCATGCAAGTGATCATTCTGCCAGCAAACCCTCACCAGATTGTGACCGCGCCACCAAAGACTCCCATGTGCACATATTCACGCATGTCTACTTGCACACGAGCAAAGCAAACACAAAGGATTGCATTGATATGTGTTTTGGTTTGGCCCTCAAGTTCGACTGGGGCACGCACACTCGCCTGGCGCTCATGGCTCGCACTTACATGATGGACAAGATTGGATGTAAGCAGATTCGAAATTGGGTAATCCAGCCAAAGTTTGAGGAAAAGGCTACCATTGATCAGGATGCGCGGAACGGCGGCTATCGCTTCATACGGGGGCATGGTCCGCGGGCGAACTTCTTGAACTAGTTCATGGAGTTGACGGACACAAACATTCATGAAGCAGGCAGTCCTCTCGAGAATTGGCCAACTTTTGGGTAATTATTTGCCTTTCACGTTGAAGAGTATGACGGGGTGGTCTTTCAACGGCATCCTCGTGCACATGCTGGGCTCCATTCGTCAACATGGCATCACCTGGATCGGGAAAACCCTACAGGCAAGAGTCGCGGTTCTATAACCGTGGCGTTTTGTCAGTCGAAGTACGAAATCGAGCAAGCCGATCGGGAGGATCTTTCACCGGCTCTCGTAACACTCGGATTTTGTCAAGCCCGGACCGGTATCCAAATGCAAACCTGACATATTCGACGACGGCATGTTGCAGATGATGGATGCTTCCTTCCTGCGGGCGTTTTTTAATGTTTTTCAACCGTCCGGATGTCGTTCGAAACATGCAACAGTCTCTGTCAAATCTGTGTGTTCCGACGTTTGCGCCTAAAAGGAGAGATATTTGCGGGCTTCTCAGACGTTATTTGCTGTACTATTCTGCTTTATGTGTATTTAATTGAAACAACATGCACTATGACCCATAGAGGTGTAGGCATGTCTAGCATCGAAACAGTATGTCTACATACTATATATAGATCAATCAAAGTTTACACGGATGAATATGTGTATGTATGATGAAGAAGATCACCGTGTGTGGGCACGCTATACGTCAGCGTATTTCGAGCACCGTGCAGGACGGCAGGCGTGCAACAACCCTTACGACCAAAAGTGCAAGCATCAGGTTTTGGGAAATCAATCCAATCAAGCATGAGAATTTCGTCAAGTGGATCCAGCCGTCCTTTGCGAGCATAGACGAAGCAGAAGATATGGATGCTACTCTCGCCCGTGCGCACATGATCGTCATCACCGATTTCGGCATCTATTTGGCGTCTCGCAAGCTCCTAAAAAAAATGAAATTTGTCTCATGGCAACAAAATGGAGCCCAACATTTGCATGCGCCCCAGCAGAAAAGCCCATATTTCAGGACAAGAAAGACCCTCACAGACACAGTCCCTCAGAATGCTACCAGCAGGACATGAGTTAGGTCACTGGAGGTTCTTCACCGCCTATTCCAGGAGGAGACCCACCCGCGGACGGTCACAACTCGTGAACGAAGCTTGTTTTCCGACGAGCCACAAGCACCTCGACAAACAGTGCCCGCATACTCGATGACGCCACAATGCGTGTCCGAGTCAAACAAGAGCAGGTCTCCACAGTCTTCCGAAATCTCAATCGCAATGGCCCCATCCAGATTGGCCTCAGTTCGCCCAGTCCTGATGCGAGCAGTTTCAGCACATGTGGCCACTGTAGTCAGGAACCCGGATTTCTTCGATCGTGAGAACGGCCATTTAGATGATGTCGCATCAGGTGAGGACCCAGATGATGTAGATCTCAAAGAAGAGCTGTAAATTCTCGCGGAGAAGGCTCATGAAGGTGAGGAGCACAACGATGAAATGGATGTGGTTCAGGAGACGGTCCGGGAGCCTCAAAGGATAAAGAGTCTGACAGGCGCGGGATTCGTGATTGCTTATCGCTTTTCATGTGGATGTCATCCAGGGTCCATAGTTATTGACGCCTCACTAAGTAAAACGATTCACATGACATTTTTTGGAGTATAACACCTGATAAGCAAAGCAACATGTTGCGTAGTGCACGAAGTGTACGCCGTGACATGTTCGAGCATGTACTCTGTACGCATCCGCAGTTTTGGTGCTCGAGCTTGGGCGCGCGCAAAGAGCATGCCTGTGCTGCAAAACATTCCCGCTCCGCCTAAAAGTGGTGGGTGGCAGGTAGAGCCTTCGGCAAGCGCGTTGTTTCCTAGGCGAAAGACACCTAACCTGACCGGCGCCTGCCAATGTCCTGCCAAAAGCGAGGGCTTGTGCGTGCCGACTGTGTAGGTTTGTATCTACGAATGCATAGGAACATGTTTGAACAGCTGTATCCCAAAAATGTGGCATGGATTGCTTCTCGATGTATGAGTTTGCAAAGTTAGCATTTCAATGGTTGAGTTTCATGGATGGCTATAGTGATTATAATATGGACCGCCTCACCGGAGGTGATAGGACAATCTTGCGGCGGTGAGTGGAGCTGGGGGGATGGGGCGCGCGTGTGTGAGCGCGCCTGCAGTTTAGCAATGTAAATTTTCAGCGTGCAGTTTGAGCGCAGTGACTTCCGGGGGGGTGGGGGGGCACGCGCGCGCGCCCCCCCCCCCCGTTTGGTGAGCGTCTTTCTAACACCCCGGGTATTTGATTCAGATTGAATTTTATTTCGAAGTTTGCGCTGTATCCATTTTTGTAAAGCCAGATTTTGCTGAAGTGCTCAATGATGAACTTCTGCATAACCTGCGGCTTTGAGTGCTCAGTGAGAACATGTATCATGTGCAGTGACCTTCGTGTCTCTGAGCTTCCTTCGTGTTGCCTGGTTACATGTGAGCACTTGGAAACAGAAATTTCGCACTTCACAGTCGGTGAAATCTCACAACAACATAGAAGCATAGCCTGCGTCCGTTCATGAGTTCGCCGGAGCCAGGTGCGGATACTGACCGCAGTGCATCCGAGCCGGTGCATACACATAGCTCCCCTGTCAGTACCCCCGTGAGTACTGTGAGCTTGGTCAGTCGCCACGTGCATTCTTTGCAAGGGCAAGTAGACGAGCTTGTGGGCATTGTGCGTGAGCAGCAGCAGGCCATTCGTGAACTCCAGGCTAGCATCGCCTTGTTGCAATCGCCATCTGTGCATACCAGTCGCCGACTCACCTGGGTTGAGCGTTTTGTGCAAAGTATCAGGGCAGCTTGCACGTCTGGACAGCCGTGAATCATCACTTGTTCACTTTTCTTGATTGAAAATGTGGGACGATGGTGATGGCATAGATCGTGAGCTTGCGAGAGCAATGATGTCCGTGAGGAAGCGACCGCTTCCTTGGGAAAGCAGCTGCGGGCTGCCACCGACCTTCTTGGAAGTGCTGGGCAGGCCAAGACAAGCGCCGCGTGTGTTGCCGCAGATAGACTTCAAAGCTACCTTGGGGTTTAAAGATGCTATCATTGGGGTTGTATACCTCAAAGATAGTGCTCAGTGTAGCGTGTCGTCTTTGAAGCCGCGTCTGCCTTTGCCGGTGCGCAGAGTCAAGTTGATGGCTTGGCAAGCAGAGCCTGATAATCTCAGGAGGCAAGCAGCGAAGCCGAATTGCTTTGCGTTTAGCAGGGGCACCTGCAAGTGCCAGGACAAGGAGAAGTGCGGCAGAGGCATGCACAGGTGTTGGTTTTGCCATGGTGACCACCCGGGCAAAAGCTGCCCGACCCGCAAGTCGGAGTGACAACCTCAGGAGCCCGGCGTCGCGTCGCCGAAGCAGTGTGCGACCGAGGGCGATGCACGTGTGTTTGAAGTCCGTGGCATTCGCGTCGAAGTGCCAGCAATGAAATTCACTTGAACCGATAAATTTTGCAGTGAAGCCAGCAGAACTTTTGTGTGTTGAGCTGTTTTGTGGGTCTGCGCGATTGTCGAAAGCTATCGTGGAGGCCGACTTGAACGTTTTGGCAATTGGCAAGGTTGCCCACGCGAAGCAGGTGTCAGTCACTTGCCTCGACTTGACGGCGATTGATCATCAGAAAGTATTGTTCGAATGCTTGTGCAAAGCCAACGTGGCCAGCATCCATATTGCGCCGCCGTGCGGAACGGCCAGCCTGGCTCGTGAAGTTCCCATGGCTAGTGCAACGGGGATGCCTGCCCCCAAACCCTTAAGATCCCGTGACGAAAGTGGACAAAATTCGGGCGCAGGCTGCTAACACACTGCACGTGGTGACGGTGGTGGCAGCGGTAATAGGGGTTCGTAGGGGATCTTTCGTCTCCGTCGAGAACCCTTCGAACAGTCACTTTTGGGCTTTAGCGGCGGCTATTGCTTGTGAGCTTGGGCTTACCACTGAGTGGAGCACTCTATCGCCAACCAGATTCCACCTGTGCATGTGGGGTTCCTCCAGGTCTAAGCTTACAACTTTCCTTGCGTCGCCGGGGCTTGCTGACCCCTTGGCGAAGGAATGCGACGGAAACACGAGCATAAGCCATGGACCCCCTTCACTAAGGATGGACTCCCACACTTTCCCACTAGTGAGGAAGCTGCTTACCCAATAGAGTTGTGTAAGGCCCACGCCCTAAATCTTTGGTCGCAGCTTCTTAAGAAAGGTGTCAAGGCACAGGCACCAAATTTGCGGCCAGACGCTTTGGGAGGCCGACCCCGAGATCTCCGACAGTTCACTGCAAAGCGTGCGCCGCCGCTCTTGGGTGAATACTGGTTGATTGGGGGTTCTCAGCTTGATCAGTTCAGGTGCAAGCAAGTGCAAAGGTCGTTCCTTTTGGGGAAAACGGGGAGGATGTTGAGGAGCCAGACAACTATGACAAGGCAGCCAAAATTGAGAGCCAGCATGCGGAGAAGCCAGGGACGGTGTTTTTTATGCCGCAAGATGCCATGCAGCCTTTGGTTGGAGTGTACAGAACTCCTGTGCAAGCCATACAAGCATCACTGACATTGAAACACCCGCTGGAGTTTGCTACGCCAATTCCTGACCTCCTGACGAGGTGCGTGGTGGAAGTCTTGAACATGGGTCCGGCTGCATTGGTAAGATTGCGTAGTCAGAACTCTGGGTCTTGGGGCGGAGGGAGGCTTTGGCAGCAAAGGAAGCCCAGTTGCATACGACCTTGCACCCTGACATTGCCACTTGTTTGCAAGGCAAACAAACGTGCTTGTGGGAGGAGCTCCTTTCGCATACCAGCTTTCCCGACGACTCCTCTGGTAGGCGAGGTTCGACAGGGGATTGAAGTAGTAGGACCAGCAGATTGGTCGCCGGTTTTCAAAAGGGGATACAGCGCTCCTGAGTTAACTGAAGACCTTTTAGCACAGGCTGTTTGGAGGCGCAAGGCTGCGGTGGCAGCTTGCAAGCCCGACGAGGACCAAGACCTTGCCGAATTTTTGTGGCAGCAAACATTGGAGGAAGCCGAAGCAGGTTGGATCAAGGGGCCATTTCTTTCCGAAGGAGAGGTGACCGCAGAGCTTGGCGTAGCCGATTGGGTTTGCACAAAAAGATTTGCCATTAGACAAAATGATAAAGTAAGAGTCATAGACAACGCAAAAGCTTCAGGAATCAATGCTGCGTTCTCAACATACAGCAAGCTGCAGCTGATGGACGCAGACACGTTGATACCCTTGATTCTGCTTGTGGTCTGGTGTGCCTCTGCCGGCGCCACGTCAAAAGTTATTTGTCTAACGGTGAAGTACTGGAGTGCATTCCACACCCATCGTGGAAGAACAATCTCCACTTGGTAGGCCTCACACTGGATCTCACGGCTGCTTATAAGCAGATGGGTATGAATCCAAGCAGGCCTCAAGTGCGACCGCTGGTTGTGTGGTCACCGCAGCACCACAAACCAGTATACTTCGTGGCAACATCCCTAATGTTCGGCACGACTGCAAGTGTGTACTCTTTCATTCGTGCTGCTCTGTCGCTGTGGCACCTGGCAGTTTCTTTGGGGAAGCTGTGGGTCCCTACTTGTTACTTCGATGACTTTCCTGGAATTGATCCCAGCATCACCTCGAAGTCGGCCCGCTCCTTTTTCGAGGGGCTGCTGCAGGCGATAGGGTGGCGCTTTGCCGCCACGGGCAAGAAAGCGCAGCAGCACGCATCAGTGTTCAATGCCTTAAGGGTCACGCTTGACCTAACCTCCGCACATCAAGGTGTGTTGACGGTGAGTAACAAGTGAACTTCTTCGTCAGATGATGCAGTGCTGGGAGCGGGTCGCATCAGCCCGCCTGCAGCCGCATTGCACGGCCGACTCAACTTCGCGCAAGGCCAACTCTTTGGCTGTGTGCTCAAGCCGGCCATGGCCTACTTGAGCAAATGGGCTGATGAGCAGTGCACTTCCGAGGTAGGGTCATGGCTTACCTGGCGGCAGCGCTGTCGAAGTCGCCTCCGAGAGTGCTTCGAGTGAGCGATACGAGACCGCCAGTCGTGATCTTTACTGATGACCCTGTGAGCAAGAAACGAGTGGTTGCCGAAATTGTAGTGCCAAATGAGCTTGTGTCCTTTTGGGTGTCGCTCAAAGATCGCAAGCAAATCATCACCCATCTTGAGCGGTGGCCCGTACTTGTAACTCTCGAGCGATGGGGGAAACTGTTACGAGGCCGAACAATCCTTCTCTTCATTGATAATAATGGAGCGCGCGACGCTGTGATTAAGGGCAGCTCCAAAGTGGCGGATGTGTTCGCTATGCTGGCCTTGATTGCACGATGCTTGGATTCGGATCGACTGTCAATGTGGACTACCAGAATTCCATCTAAGAGCAATTCAGCGGACCTGCCTTCGAGACACGAAGCGAGCCTAGCAGCTACACTGTTTGCTTGTGAGCTTGAAGAGCCGTGGCAACCTCCTGCGGGACTTGTCGATGCGCTGCTTAAGGGCAGATCGTTCTTAGATGTCATGGTTCAGGGGTGTGTCGAAAAGTAGGGTCGATTGAGGTAGGGCCTTCGTGCCCTGTGCAAGGCCTTCGTGCTATGCACATGTGCAATCTTGATTTCCTCCGGCGACGTGCCGTGCTGTAGCCTGCGTGAATCCTTGAACGACCCCAGTGGCGTCAGGCCTTTGCACAAGAGTGAAAACAGTGTGTGCTGAGAGTGTCCGCTCGAAGTGATTGCCCTAGGGATGTTTGTTGAAGGAGTGATTTTTAAATGGAGCTGGAAACATACAGATTCGGAATGATACTTGAGATGCCAATTTACATATATTTGCTAAACTTGCTGGTGTCCCGCGACACCGCACCGTTGCGAGATGGACCCCCTCTCCGGAGGTGATAGGACAATCTTGCGGCGGTGCGTGGAGCTGGGGGGATGGGGTGCGCGTGTGTGAGCGCGCCTGCAGCTTAGCAATGTAAATTTTTGGCATGCAGTTTGAGCAGAGTGACTTCCGGGGGGGGGACGCGCGCGTTTTTCTAACACTCCGGGTATTTGACTCAGATTGAATTTTAATTTGAAGTTTGCGTGTATCCATTTTGTAAAGCCAGATTTTGCTGGAGTGCTCAATGATGAACTTCTGCATAACCTGCGGCTTTGAGTGCTCAGGGAGAACATATATCATGTGCGGTGACCTTCGTGTCTCTGAGCTTCCTTCGCGTTGCCTTGTTACATGTGAGCACTTGGATACAGAAATTTCGCACCCGCCCGCCCTCCCCATAGTGGGGGTCGAGATTGAGGTAGGGCCTTCGTGCCCTGTGCAAGGCCTTCGTGCTATGCACATGTGCAATCTTGATTTCCTCTGGCGACGTGCCGTGCTGTAGCCTGCGCGAATCCTTGAACGACCCCAGTGGCCTCAGGCCTTTGCGCAAGAGTGAAAACAGTGTGTGCTCAGAGTGTCCGCTCGATTTGATTGCCTTAGAGATATTTGTTGAAGGAGTGATTTTGAAATAGAGCTGGAAACATACAGATTCTTAATGATACTTGAGATGCCAATTTACTTATATTTGCTAAACTTGCTGGTGTCCCGCGACACCGCACTGTTGCGAGATATGTGTATATATATAATGTTTGTTCAACAATGAACACGTCGCCGCACGAAGCTTGGCAAAATAGCATATGCGAACAGATTTTCGCATGGTTCCGCGACTTTTCGTTCAATTTCACAACGAACTCCGTGGCCATCGGCGTAAGCTTCTCGTTTTTTACATGGCGAAGTGCCGCAACAAAACTATCGAGAGCAAGGCCGCTATGTATCTCCGCCATCTCCGCCCCGTAAAGACGAAGTCAAGCCGCATGGGTGTGGCGCTAAGAAGACCAGTGAGGCAACCACCAAGAAGAAGTGCACTATGACAACCTCGGGTAAGAGATATGTGATGAAAGCCATGAAGCGAATCATGAAAAAGTAGCAGATTGCATGTGGATCAACAGGCACAGTGTTGTATCGTTGGGCTTACAACGTCCGCATTTAGTAAGAATCACAGCGAACGGCGCGTCAAAGGCGATTTAACAGCTGTCTCGCCTTCGTGCGTACATTCGCACAGGGGACTGACCTCCGCGAGAAAATACGTGCACAGAGATAGCAGTGCGGATCAGAAGATGACCACAAATCATGACAACAAAAAGAATGCAATGTTTGAAACCCTCAGATAGGGCCTCTTGGGTTGTTTTACTTCTGTTGCTTTTGTTTCTTGATTTTTGTTTTTTTGTTTGTTCGTGCAATGCGTTTGGCTTGTGAGTCCTGGCTGTGAGGGTGTCGTGTCACGTGTTGTGTGTTCAGGAGTGCCGGGCTATGTGACGGCGTGGTGTTTCGTGTCTATGGGAGCACGTAAAACCGCGCAAAAAAGCGCGCTCTCGCAGTGTCCCGTTTTCCGTATATAGCACTATATTTATCTCTATCTCTATACCTATATCTATACCTACATATCTATGCACGTACATACAAACAAATGTATATCAGCATGTATGTACATGTGTATATATATATATACATATATAAATGTTTACATGACTACATATATACATATAAACACATATCAGCCCATAACACCTTCCAGAATCGTAAAAAGTTCGACCATGCGCATCATAAGCCAAGCAAGTGGTGCTACAAACCGAAAGCATCCCTGGCTTGCTTTAATTCTCCCAACCAACCGGAAAACCTGCGGCATGATTCCTGGGAGGTTTAGTGACATGGAACCCATATGAAAACCCCAGATATGTAATATCTCGATTGTGAGGACACTGAATGAAATCCCATATCTTAACTCCGAACCTAGACCCTGTCAAAACCTTAGAGCAACTTGTCGACTTGCATGAACAGCTTGACAGAACAGGAGCACCCGTGAACCCCAATCCCCCAAACAATTCGCCGAAAGTTCAAAACACGAGTAGTTATTCCGATCAGGAGAGCACGTAGAGTTACATTCTAAAACAGTAGCAGAGGTCGCAGTGACGATAGTTATCAACACGACAAACGCAAAGTTTAAAGTGACAATAAGTAAGATTTCATTAAAACCCCAACCCCAAATCGTAAGAGCCTTGAACGCGAAGCCACGAACCACTACCCAAAATCAGTAAGAACTTGACTACTGAATACAACGCGATTACGAACAATATTTTTACGAAACCTTGCAAAACAAGTTTTCATAATTGTGAATACATCCAAACAGGTGACTTGGGGCTCAGCCCGCGGGGGTGGCGACAGCAGTGGCGTGGCATCGCAGCTGGCGACCGGGCGCATTTAGTTCCATATTCGTGGTGCTTTAGAGTAGTAAGAAAAGATGGAGGGTGTTGAATTTTTATAAGATGCTCCGCGCTCGAGGGTTGTTTTGAAACTCTGCGGGCTGATAGGGTCGTGTGAGGAGTGTAAACGGCCCCAACTCAATGGTAAGAGCACATGGGAGTTAAACACTGCCATGTTAACGTTCAGGCGCTGGGTTCCCGCTAGTAAGGAATAGCACTAGTAACTGTTCAGCCCCTCATATATATATATATATATGTATATACTAAACAGTAGAGATGTGGACCTTTGCAGTTGCAGGCTTCAGAGTCACGGAAGTCTGGGAAGACAAGAAGTCCAGCTATTGACCCGGTCCAGAACCGAGTATTTCGTCTAGAGTCACACCAGTAGGATCTTCGCCATAAGGAAACCCAAAACAAGGCACCCCTAGTTGTAAGAAGCTGCCTAAGAGTTCTGGGTTTACGAATTGGCCGCCGGGGGCTTGGGATGACCTTAAACATCGTGTTCATCCTGTTTCACAGGCCTTGTGAAGATAGCCATTAGGTCTCAGTTAGAAGTAGAGAAAACTTCTCCTGATGATAAGAAGCAGAAGCAGAAGAGCTGCAACATCATCCATCTTGTTCATGATGCAAATGGCGCTGGCAGCAGCAGTGAGAAGAGTGTTCATTCCAGAAAGTACATGTCTCGCAACTGCAGCCGAAAAGAGAATCGTAATAGTAAAGACCACAGGCTGTTATTACGATGAAATTCAGAATACTTTTCATTTTATATAGAATGCTAGTATAGTTCAGTCTAAAGTCGGAACGAAGGAGTTGAGGTTTTAAAGAGCATCCAAGAACACTCCAGAAGGAAAGCAAACGAAACACTTATATAAACGTGAACTTAGCTTCACAACCGCGAAGGCCCGGTGTGCTCTGTGGATTGGGACCCGCAGCCATACACAGCAGATTCCTAGTCCTGGGAGATTAAGCAGTGTTTTCGAAGGCAGGATGTTAGATTTTATGCGACTGAATCAAGACTGCAGGCGAAGGTGCAGGACATCCGTGCGACCGATTCGGCGTTTGCCGCCATCCGAATCCTGGCAATTTGGAGGTTCGAAGTTCAGCGCTTCTTGGGTGGGGGCCTTGTTGAACATGTGCGGAACAGACAGTCTATGCGTGGATTTGGGTCGTACTCCAAAAATTTGTAGGCTGGGCAGTCTCTTAAAGCACCCAAAGCCGCTGTCATTTCAGGGTGGTACGATGTAGGGGCCTTGATAAGTCGGGTAGAGCCCCGCGGTATCTTGTATAGAGACACTAAATACCGGACGCACCTGGGAACCTCAAAGCCCCGGAAACTGCGCCGTCTCTTGCCCTGAAACCAGGATTTAGGGTTTAGGCGGCCTACACTAAACATCAACCCGAACAGTTTCCTGGGCCTACTCAGAACTGCTAGCCCAACAAGCAACCCAAGTGTAACTCCAACTATTTATCAATCCTCCCCATGCATTCCAAATTCCGCAAACGAAAAGCCATTCAAACGAGGCTAGCGCAGCCTTTCTGAAATCCTCCAGGCCTCCTTGCAGGGCCGTAAACCTGGGGACGGAACTGCAAGTCCACAGAAGCACAGCAAGATGACAAGGATCTGATGGCTGCGTCGTGACCTGGGGCGCACCGGAGTCACTTGGCATGTTTGTTTTGGTTGGTGTCCGGGAACTGCTGGGAAACGAAGAGGGAGAATAACAGCAAAATAACCCTGATATTAACAATCGTATAAAGATGACAGCAATAGCGATAATGTGACGATGATGGCTGTTGGTGATGCAAGTGCCGCTACGCACACTCATGCTCCCAACGAAACCTCATGCTGCTCGTCCCTCCCCACTAATTGTGGTAGACTGCAGAAGTTGCAAGTACGTCTGGGATCTTGGGCAGGCGTCTTTCCGCGCGAAGCAGCAAGGTTCATACTAAGCGCATATTGTGAGGCTCCTCAGGATACCGATAAGTGTCTACTTTGGGGGTGCCCCCAGAATTATGAGCACCGCCTTCTCTGCGGCGCCCCTCAACCCCAAATGCTAAACGACTGGTCTCAATACCTCGGCTTTTGGAAACTACACATTTGGTTCCAACATTCGGAATTGAACGAATGTCTTTCAACTGTACACGCGATACCAGGCTTTCGTTTCATTGTGGCTGCCAAGCACACTTGGAGGTTCATGGGTAGTTATAAGTAGGGTAACTATACCTATAGCCATTATTGGGGGATTTATAACCCCCCTTAAACTACCCCCGAACCTCCAAGCAACCACAACAGCTGCAGATTACATCCTACGACGAGGTGCGGAGGGGACTCCAGCGCTGTTCAGAAGCGGCTGATTCGAGTGCAGGACTGGAGTTATCCCCAAAGCCCTGTTTAAGCCCAAAAAGAGATAAAGTGTGGCTTTAAAGAGTAGGAAACCCAACCAAGTGCAGGGTTTCGGTTTCAGAGTTTCGCCGGCCGCCTCACGAAAGGCTGGGTTTCTCACGGGCGTGGCTTTGGTGATTCGGCGTCGAGATGTACTGTGTAATGTAGACCCGAGATTAGCATCACCCCCCTCCCTATCAAAGGTTGTATTGGAGCCTTTGAGTGAAAGTGTTTACAGGCTGAGGGTGCAGCATTGATGCACTGCGCAAGAACCGGCATTCTTCGAGTGTTTCAGAAAGTGACCTGAACACTTAGCGGCTCCTGTCATATGGAGCCCTCAGCAAAAAAGTCGGTCTTGAAGTCATTGCGACACCCCGTGAGAGATTTCTGCGTGCTTTATTGATGTGGGTAGTTGTCAAAACTATGGTCCCTTTTTGGGTGCCCCAAATATTAGGTGCCGTATTATCATAAAGGGACCCTAATTGTGACAACCGCCCATGTGTTCCATAGATACTTTACTAGGATGCCCAGTAGTACCCTTATTCCCTTTTTGTAGTCCTAGGTTCCTTATAAAGTTACCCAATACCCAAAAAGAGAGGCCTTTTTATTCTTAGGTTACTTTACAGTGCAAGGAAGATCCGGGCAGAAAGTGCTCGCTGCGGTGCACAGGAGATCCGAGCCTCGGAGGGCGCCTTTGCAGCGATCCTCGCCGACGGAGAGGCTCCCAGTGTCTTTAGGATGGTTTAGGGTTTAGGTTTTAGGGTTTAGTAGGGGTTTAGGATGGTTTAGGGTTTAGATGGTTCAGGGTCTTCTGGGAGTTTAGGGTTTCGGGTTTAGGCTTGTCTTTTCTTGGGGGCGTTAGGACTTAAAATGGACTTTCTACAATGCCTCTACAAAGAAGTGCCTACATACACTCAAGACCTCATCCCTTTCAACACCCCCTGAACACGAGGTCGTCACATGGGGTCCTGCAGAGTACGGCGGCGACTGCAGCACAGTTCAGGAGAAGCTGAAGGATGTTCAGGACAGTTTGCCTTGCTGCAACGCCTTTGTGGCAATGCAACGGGTAGGTTCGGGAACATCTAGAAATGGGATTCGAAATTTGAATTTTGAGTTTGGGTATTCAGTGTGAACTCATGGACCCTATGGCCTTAAGACCGTAGCTGCACAGAAGACATCCGCTTGCAAACTCTTTTGAATCTATCAACACCCTAAATTCATGGCATTTGGGGCTTCCCTGATGAAGAACTGCAGCACGCACAGATACTAACGGATACGCACAACAGTCGACACTAGTGCCTTGCTCCCAAAACCAAACCCCCCCAAACTCCAAGCCCTAAACTCCACGTCTAGCGAAAGGGCTTTCTGCTAGCTAGATTCGACAGCGAACCAGGCGGAAAAAGGCACCGCAAAGAAAAAACCCGAAGCCTCAAACTTAGAAGACTTAGCCTTCGGCTGTACGCCATAGAAAACTTCAAACCAAAGCCCGACGTCTGTTTAGGGTTTAAGGTACATGAAACGCCGAAAACTTTGTTCAAGGCCGCTATGAAGATCTAGACTACCTTACAAAAACCCGAAACGAAATTACCATAATTTGTAAGCCTTGGATAGAAACTTGTTAAAAGACAGAAAGAAAAGGACATCCGGGCCTCTGAAGGGGCTTTCACGGCCCTCAGGGGGGATGGCACCGCGGTGGCCTGGGGATCGCCCCACTGCGGCTGCTGGGCTTCATGCGGTTTGTGAGTGGGAACTTGAGGGTTTGGGAGGATAAGTAAGTGTTCATCGGTTTTAAGTGGATGGAGTTTCTTGGCTTTTGGCGGTATGCTCCTGCTAGGGCTTAGGATGTTAAAAGGTCTGCAACCTACAACCTACGAAATTATCGGCCTGGGCACCCTACTGTTACAGCTTTATATAAGCTGGGCATGACCTGAGTGCCAAATTCCCGCTGCCTTCGGCCTAAAGCTCTTGAGGCCGTAAAGCACCGAAGGGTTTTACTTGCATCTTTGTCAGTTTATAGAGCTGCCCTGAGATCCACATCGACTGTCGGACCGCCTGCCCTTGACGACTGACAAGACCCTAATGTAGGGGCGTTAATAAGTAGAAAAGGGTTTTCGGTGTATATTATACTATAATAAGGGACCCCGAAAGCCTTATTCTAAGTATGAAGGCCCCTACATTAAACTCTTAAACCATAGGTCCTACCTGCCACTTTGTCAAGCGACCCAGGTGGCGACTGCAGCGCCGTGGAAGAGAGCTTGACCGATGTGCAGGACTTGTGGATTGGGATGTTGGTAAGTGTACTTCGAGGTTCATGGGTAGTTCTAAGTAGGGTTCTAAGTTGGGTAACTATACTTATAACCCGTATTTTTGGACTTATAACCCCACTTATAACTACCCCTGAACCTCCAAGTACGTAGGGTCCTTCGGAATATTGGTGAGTGTCTTTGTGGGGGTGTGAGTTGCCGAGATGTCAAAAAGACGCGGTGCTGTTTGGGTTCCCAAAAGGAACACATCGCGCTGGCACTCAAGATGCTACGAGTACCTCTGGCTTAGAGAACTGCCCATCTAGTCGTTCAGCGGTTCACTGCCTTTTTCGAGAAGAAGCCTTCACTCCAACTTAAATCTCTTGCAGTCATCAAAATAGGAACCGACCTCCCTGTCCTAGGGTTCTGGGGCTTAGAGTTTATTGGGGTTTGATCCTGTGGCAGTGCCTCTAGGTATAGCAATGAGAGTTGGAAGAACAAGGCAGATGAGAGATGGCAGAAGCAAAGAAGAAGACCGAGCATAGCGACTCCGAGCCAGAGTCCATAAGAGAGCATCTCTCGGAGAATAGAAGACCGAGGAACTCCAAATGCTTCTGCAAACCCACAAGCCATTCTCCTCATAAATCGCTGTTTCAGCAGCGCAAAAAACTCTCAAAAAGCAGTTCAGTAAAACAAAATTACAAGACGTGGAAAAGTAAGTTCATCAAATCCTTTGCGTGTGAAGCCCCTGAAATGCTAGACCCTTGAACCACTTCACCCCGAAGGAAATTTCAGCTTCCCAGCTCGCCTTCGCGGCACTGAAGAGTGACGGCTCGGCCACTCGCCGGAGCGCTTTCGGACTTTTGGGTTGGGTTTGGGGGGGTATTTATGGCCGGATGCTGAGGCGGAGGGGGCGGGAGTTTTAGGGTTTATAAGCTTGTCAGGTTTATCTTGCAGTTTGCTTACGGAGGGGTTTATAGGGTTTTGCCGTTGCGGAGTGTCGTGCTTCTGAGTTGTAGGGTTTGGGCCAGCGACAATGACGGCCAGGCGGTGGCGTGGGGTCCTTGGCGGCGTGGCTGCATCGAGTGAAAGGATGGATGTGAATTAGCCTTTTGGGTTTAGGGCACAAGGCATAAAGTTCGAAAAAGTTGCAGGGCATCAGTTTTAGCAAATCTGGCCATGTTTTCCTGAAGGTCCAGGTTGAAAGCTGCTGTCGTGTCGAGGCTTTGCGGGCTCTCAGATCGGATTCAACTAAATGGGAGTTTCCGAAATTTGGGGGCACTTTATTTTGGGGTCCTTATAATAAGGATCCTACTATTTCGGGTACTATATGAGGGTCCCCTATTTTCGGAAGCTCCCAAACGATAAATTCTGAAGCCTAGACCCATAGTTCTAAACCGCAACAGGCCAAGGCGGTCGACACCATGATGTTTTCAGGGTAGCTTTGTCATGACATCTCAGGCTGCACTGCGCCCGAGAGACGAAGCCCGGGTTCGTTGGTTTTAGGGTAGGGTTTGCGGTTTAAGACTATGCGTTTACTTACCACTGGTTAGGAGGGAGTGGAAGAGTGGTAGTAGTAGTTCTAATTGTACCCCATTCCTCCATTCCCTACTAACCAAAGGTAAGTTTAGGCTCCGTGATTACGTGCCCAGTTGTCCACATGGGTGGTTGTCAAAATTGTGGTCCCTTTTGGGAACCCTAAAAAATAGGTGCCGTACTATGATAGGGACCCAAAAAGGACCATAATATCCCAGAGACTCCAATACCCCTTAATTAAGGAATATACCTTAAAATCATATTAGGGACCCTACTATAACTTAAGGTATATTCCTGAATTAAGGGATATTGGAGGATAGGGGTACCTTTGTAGGGTTCCCTATTATGATTTCCTTATATAAGGCCAGCCACATACGCGAAGGTCGACCATGGTCTTCTCAAAACCTTTTACCCTCTGCCTCGGTTTCTACGCAAAGCGGTAAATAGAGGGGCCTTCATAATTAGAACAGGGTTTTGGGGTCCATTGTACTGTAATTTTTCATTTAGAATAGGGTCTTGGCGCCCATTATACTGTAATTATAGTTAAGAATAGGGTTTTGGGGCAAATTATACTGTAATTATAATTTAGAATAGGGTTTTGGGGCCCATTATACTGTAATTTTAATTTAGAATAGGGTTTTGGGGCCCATTATACTGCAATTATACATATATATATATATATATATATATATATATATATATATGTATATATATATATATATGGAGCCCCGAAATAGTATTGGTAATTGTTTGGGCCCCTATAGTAGGGAGGCCAAAGGGACCCTTAATGGGGATGCCTACCCTATAATGGGCTATATAATGGGTATATAATAGATATATTAAGGGTATATACCTAGGGGTCCTTATTAAGGGTCCCTCCTTTTACCCCTGGAGGGTTGTTAAGGATTTGGGATGTAAGGGTTTAGCTTTAGGCATTCCCCAGTCTCCAAGGTATGCTGGAGGTGACTGCAGTCGCGTAGCGGATGAGCTTACGGAAGTTCGTGGAGTGCAAGCTACGGCCTCTTCGAAGCAACAGGTGCACAGATCCTGAAAGCCATACCGAAGCCTTAACTTCAAGCCAAACAGGAACACTAAACCCAAACCCTGAAGGGCATCCGAGATTTTGGGCGATATGTCTTGGCTGGCCATGAACCCTTAAACCCCTAAAGCAAGAAACACAGACACACACGCGCACACACCAACATGTGCGTGTGTGTGTGTGCGCGTATAAGTATGTGTACATCGTTATGTCTCATTATACCATTATATCTCAAGACAGACAGACCGACAGACAGACAGACAGCAAAATACAACCGCATGACCCCCAGACCCTGAACGCCTTCAACACCGAGGCCTCCAAGACTTCCCGACGACTCTCATCCAAAAGCTTGAACAGTTGCCAATATTGTTCCACAGGGCTCGTTATTATAATCGTTGTAACATACTCATAAGCCCTATTAAAAAATAAGACCGTGAATAACTGCCAATACTTTTCATCAGGTCTCCTTGCTCGAATCATTATCACTTACCCATAAACCCTACCTTATTTGCGGGCGTTATAATAAGGATCCTACTATTTAGGGTACTATATCAAGGTCCCCTATTTTTGGAAACTGCTATGCTAACCATGCAGGCCCCAAAGTAGACTCGGAAGTCTGGCCTTGAGCCGTCAACCTTTGCCTTTGATGTCCTCGGGGGATGGCATCCCGGCCCCAATGAATCATTCAACTTGGAACTGTTATAGTTATGTGTATATATATATATATGTCTATGTTGGATACATATGATATACATATATATATATATATAGATATAGATATAGGTATATGATTACGCACATGTGTATCTAAGTGTATATATATATATATATACATTCGTACATATGTATACATGCATGCATACATACAGACATAGACATAGACATACACATGAAAGTACATGTGCACATACATTCTTGTATGTACGTACCTTAAACCGATTCGGAGCTTCTGATTGTAGTTTAAGATCTCTTCCTGAATCAAGGGATAGATTGGACTCCCTTTCGACTCTCTCGGCCCACGAGACGTGAGGATTCGGAGTTCGAGTTTTGATTTTGGGGGGTGTAAAGTGCTCAACCGCACCCCTGAACCACCTTGCCACACTCCAATCCGAGCCGGGATACAGTCAGCTGACCGCAATGAGGATTGAGGTTTCGGCTTGAGGGTTGCAAACTGCAAGACATGCTTCAGCCCCGGTTCCAGTCACAACCCCGTAAAGGTCCATGCCCTAACCATCAGCCACTGACAGCCTAATCCAACAGAGCCAACCCCCAACCTTGCCTAGGACGCAGAAGGAATTGAACTTTTCCGATGTTTCGGTCTCCTAACCCAAGGCCCGCCGTTATGAATCAGTTTCAGAACTAGATGCTACAGCCGCGATAGCGATTGGCAGTAGGCTTGTCCCAAATGTCAGCGCTTGCTTCCTGATTTGTGGATCTTCTGTTTCCGACAATTTGTCCAGAGCCACCGCCGCTAGTACCGTCCAATCGCCCATGGCACAATCTCCAAACCCCTTAACCCTAAAGCCTAACACTTTGCCCACAGGACACTGAAATTCTAAGGCGAAAGCCCGAAACCCTAAAGACCCACCAGGGCCACGAGAGAGAACGAAGCCTTGTCCAGAAAGCCCGATACACGTTGGGGCTAGAACTTTGGCTTTGGGTGAGGGAATGTCAACGATTAGAAGTTTGAGGTACATGCACTCAGGCCGTGGGGGCCAGGATTCAGGATGAAGGGCTAGGTTTCAGGGCTTGTGCAATGAACCCATAAAGTCTCGAACACCTTAAACCTGGCATGCCCCACGCTTTGGACCACTCTGTCAAAAACGTATTCAATTTCAGACACATACCTTAAAATGGTTACGAAGGAGTTCAAAACCAAACAGACGCGCACAGACAGCGCAGACTAACCAACAAAGGAGACGGCTTTTGCAGCCCTCCGGGCCGACGGAAGCGTCGTGACTTGGGGATGTGCAGGGGGCGGGGGTGACAGCCGCCCGGCAGAAAGGTTTGGCATGTCTTCGAGATTCTGCGAAGGGTCTTTGGGGGGTTTAGGGGTTCAGGGTTATTCGTCCCATCGTAGGCGGTGCCACAGACGATTCTGATTTAAAGAAACGAGCCTGACCTTGATAGTTAGAATTATTGGGGCCGAAATACTTACCAATACTATTTTGGGGGGGGGTTCCTTGTTATTAGTCTGGCATAATGGGCCCCAAAAACCTTGTTCTAATTTTTAAGGCCCCTATATTAGTTCGCAAGCATAGAAAACTGCAGGGTACCGTAAGTTCCCACTCGGAATTTGGGACGCAGGGGACTTCGACTATCCAAGCAGCTTTCTCACGCGTTTTTTATGCCACAACCGAAGACTCCCTCGACCCCGTGGCTTTGCCCTAAATGGGAGTTTGCGAAAAATCAGGGGTACCTGATTTCGGGGTCCTTATAATAAGGATCCTACGATTTAGGGTACTTTATAAGGGTCCCCATTTTCGGAAACTCCCAAATAGTTGTAATAATTGCATGAAGCCAGGGTCGGAGGTTTACGGTAGGTTTCAGGGACGGAGGGTTCAATTCCAGGCTTGGGGTGGTTGACATTTGGGGCTACAGGTTGACGGTGCGATCAAAGAATCCTTCTTAGGGATTAGGGATTGGGGGATTTAGGGGTCGTTTAGGGTTTAGGGTTTGCTTGCGGTTTGGGGCTACATGCAGGAGAAGCACAAACAAGACTGTCCTCGCTTGCAGTGTAATCGTATCATGTCCCGAAGCAGCGTATCCTTCCTTCTCCTCGGGAGCTGAAAGCCGAAACTCAAAATCACCAAAACCTGAGCCCTACACCGTATACCCCCAGACACCAAAGCCCCAAAAGATGCAAACCCTCCTACACGCATCCTGCCACATTGATACTGCCTCAACCCCTGCTGTTTAGCACATGCAGCCACCACGTCGTAGCCACACGCACTCGCCGCGGTCACAGACGGCTGCATTCTAATATCCAGGCTCCGATAGAAACGGTCGTAAAAGGAGATGCTGCTAAGCAAATGTTGGTGAACAGTTTGCCGTCTGCGGCAAGTGACGTTGGTTGGCAAACCCTAGGCCCTGAACCCTGCAAGTAGATCTTGGTGAGCAAAGACCAAACCTCAAAAGATATTTTTTGAGTTTCTCAATAGTAAACCTTGCAGGGAATTGTTGGTTGGCAAACTCGAACCCATAAAAACGACATGTTGTTGTTCGTGAGGGCACTTTGAAGACTGAAAGGAAATGTTGGCGTGGACAACCTAAACCCCAAAAAGGAGATGTTGGTGAACAAACCTTGACGAAAGATGATGGTGATCAAGCCTGCACGGGAGGTTTCGGTCAGCAAACCCCAGCTTTAAAAGCATGTGTTGGTGAGCAAACCTCAAACATTGGCAGGTGAAAGCTGTTTCTGCCTGTTCTGCTCTTGCGCGTGTGACGGTGCATGTGTGATTCTACGCAAGACTTGCGTGCTTCTACAATATCCGTTAGTCTTCCCGCCATCCTCCATGTTAGGGTCACTCTATGCAGCGTTACTTTTTGCTTGCACCTGCGCCTGTAGCAATTCTTTTTTGGCAAACCGCCGCCGTGAGCACCGCTTTGCGTTTCCCGGCCTCCCCTCGCCCTCGCACTTGACTTGTCCTTGCGCAAGGCCGTCTTGTGTTCGGTATGGGCAAGATGTATGCGCATGTCCGTGCTTTGTGCCTGTGGAACGATTTCTGTTGTGCTTTTGTTCGCCGTGTCCTCCTTGCTGGCATGGGCTGGGCCAGATGATGAAGGTGCGGCGGTCCTGCTTGTCAACTCCTTGGACAGCAAGAGCGATAGCAACACTAACAACGACGCCAGCAACACTGAGGCCCAACCCCCTATGCGAGATCTTTCCTACAATCCTATCACGGGATCGTGGGACGATCACGGCCCCGGTGCCGAACAGGTCGTGGCGGATGAAGGCCGATCATGTGTTCTGTCATGTTCTGTCCGTCGCATTCGCGTGTAGTACCTGTATGTGTACACGCCGTAGGTAAGTTCCATGCCGAAACAGCCAGGTGACTTTCCAGACTTCGCAGCCACGGAAGTGGACGCCGGAGGCATCCCTGGAGACATACCTGAATTGAACTCTCTCCTTTTATCAGAGGAAGAAGAAGAGGAGGGCTCGGAAGACGCTCCGGCCAATCCCGATCCAGTGCCGGATCATTCCCAGCACAACGCCATCATCCAAGCCTTGGCAGCGCTGGGGATATCACTGGAGGATTTGTGGGCTAAGCCCACAAATGATTGGAAACAGGTTATTGAAAAGGCTTATCTCGCTCAGGCGCTGCGGCAGCACCCGGACCGGAAACCCGGGGCGGGCGAAAGAAGCTCATCAGTCAATGATCCGTCTAAGATCTCAACGAGACATCCTCCGTTACTTTCTCGACAATTGGGGCAAAATCCGCCGCCTCCTCGGGCGCCATCGCCCGACATGTTTCTGTTCCCTCTGCCGCGACCTATGGGAAAGGATGACGCGCTGCAAATTTTGTTTGGGTGCCAATAGAAAACATGGCCACAGAGGTTGTGGCCTCACGAAGGAGGCATCCTACTTCCAGCGGAATCACTTGGCTTGGTATCCGACATTGTTGCGGCATATTGCACACGGCGCAGAGCCGACGGAAGCCAAACGCCGCGCGGACATGGAGCGCCGTGTCCAAGAAGGCCGCGCTAAAACAGCGCCAAGTTGGAGAAAAAAACGCCGACGAAGAGAGGACGAGGAGCAGCAGATTCTCTTTGATCAGCGCTTGGCGGAGGCTCTGCAAAAAGCAGAGCAGGAGGTGACGGCGGAATGGGAAAAGGAACATGGGAAGGCAACTTCGCCCGTCGAGGACTGGGTTTTTCTATGCCGTGTGCCGTATTCTAAACCGGTATAGGAAATTGTCCTTGCTCCAGGATCGAGGACGATCTCGTGCGGGTGGCGTTTCCTGGTGCTAGCACCAACCCCAAGGCTCCCTCCGCCGTCCGGCGTCACCGGGTGCTAGCCCCGGCCGGTAAGAAACCCAGGTGCGGCGATGGCACATACAGCGAAACCCCCGCCACTTCCACCGAGCTCCACCCCCCCGAAGACGCCCTCTGCCCGAGGGCTACAAGGTCCCAGCGGCGCCGCACTTCTTGGCCCTGGACCGCCCGGGCAAGTGTCATTGGTGTCCGCTTTGCGAGCGCAATACGGCGCGATGGGAGGCTCGCGTCATGAAAAACTCGGGCAAGATCAACTGCTGGTTTCGTTGCGCCAAGTTCCCTGGCTGCGACTTTGCCACCACAAACCTACGATTGAAGGCCCTACTTGGAGGTTCATGGGTAGTTATAAGAAGGGTTATAAGTCCCCTACTTGTGATACGGGTCAGAAGTACAGCTACCCTACTCACAACCCTACTTATAACTACCCATGAACCTCCAAGTAAACCCTGAACTGTCCTCAGGCAGCACCGTCCGTGAGCAGCTGAAAGATGTGCGAGAGATTCAATCATCGGAGGCTGCCTTTGTCGCTCGGAAGCCTTGGGAATTGCATCCGGGCTCTGGGTTTAGGGCTTTAGGGGTGTGGGGCTTAGGGGTTTAGAGTAAAGGGCTAGGGCGGTTAGGGTTTGAAGTTTAGGGTTTGCCTTCGGGGTCGATGGAATGCTTTTGGCTTCGGGATGTCGTGTGCAAGGTCTCTTGGGTTCATTGCAAGAATTTTTGGGTTTGGAAATTCCGGATGTCAGGTGTCGGATCCAAAGCCTGGCCTCACTAGACCGTACAGCCGAATCCTGGCTTCTAATGCAGCAGCCGTCAATTTCGGAACATAGGGACAATTAGTAGTGGGGTCGTTCATAGCAGGGCCCCGAATCAGGATCCCATGATTTGAGAAACCCTACTTGGAGGTTCACGGGTAGTTATAAGTAGGGTTATACGTAGAGTAACTATACTTGTAACCCATACTAGCGGACTTAACCCTACTTACAACTTACCCATGAACCTCCAAGCAGGTTCTACCAAGCGAAAACCGCCCAGGCTGCCATCTTGGCCGATGGAAGCGTCGCACCCGAGCTGCAAGCGAACATAGTCAAAACCTGCTTAAATCTTACAGGGATCCTTGAAAAAATGCTCAACGCCGAAAAAACTGTGTTCCAGGTGGATCATCGCATTTTCATAGTAAGGATACTTACAGATGCAGGTAGTCTAACCTACAAGTACAGTTGCCTCCAACCAGAAGCCAGAAGCATTCGGGATTGTATCAACCCTAAACCCTAGATGGTAAGATTCTGCCGTAAAATGTGGTGGGCCTACTTGGAGGTTCATGGGTTGTTATAAGTAGGGTAACTATACTTATAACCCATATTAGGGGACTTATAACCCCACGTATAACTATCCATGAACCTCCAAGTAGAAGATTGGAGATCACAGGGATGCCTGCGGTTGCCACTTTGCAGTCAGGTTTGAAGACCCAAGGCATGATGGCAGTTTTGCACGAAGTTGACTTTGGTAGCGTGCAAGTTACATTCAAACGTAAACTCCGCACGCTCTGCATGAAAAATATGTGACAGCTAGGGCGATGTTTATCGAAAGATGTGGAAGTATGTAGATTCCGAAGAGGGCTACAGCCTTCGCTTGGGTTCGCAGCCACCGCTTCGTTCGTAAACTGCTTGCTGCTGCAGATATTCTTCTTTGGGGCCTAGTGGCTGCTGGACGGATGGTGGCCGAAAATCTCGGCATGAAACGTTGAGTCTTGCGCAGCTGATGATTATTATTGTTGATATCCTGTGGTTTTGATTGTGCTGGTCGTTGCGGTTGACCTTTTTGTTTGGTTCGTTTGATTGGTATCGGTTTGCCCGGTTGGTGCGCCGGTCTTTGCACTCGTTTGCTAGCTAAGATGACGGCTGCTGCTGTTGCCACAATTGCTTGCACGACGTTGGTTGCTTTCATTTGGAACGAGGTCTCACTATTCTCAATGCTTATGAGGTCAGGATAGGGTTACATGTTGAAGCAGGACCCCGCGTGATGTTGCAGTATAGTCATATGGGGACTACAAGGGGAGGGGATACTAATTAGTCAAGCCTGCATATTAGATTTCAAAAACCCGTGAGTTCTCCAGGTGACCTGGGGTGCTGCCAGTTGCGGCGGCGACAGCTCGAGAGTGAAGAGCCAGCTTTGCAATGTGCAGGAAATTGTCTGAGGGAAGGATACTACACGATGCTGTACCATACTCCTTTCTCTATGCTCTACTTTACTTTCCTATGGTTTACTTTACTATATGCTGTATTCTATACTGGAATATACTATGTTTTCTATACTGCATACAATAAACTGTATAGGTTGTACAATATACTGTATACTCTAACTACTCTCCGAAACATTATCATACCGTACGGTGATCTAATCTCAGTAGAAGGGAAGCTCGGGGTTTGATGTCATCCATCGTAGCCTCGAGCCCAAGGGAGCCCTAGGTTAAACCCACGGTTCAGGGTTTAGGATTTAGGGTGTTTTAGTGTTTTTTAGGGTGTTTTAAGGGTTTAGGGTTTTTTTGAGTTTTCTAGAGTTTAGGGTTTAGGGGAGTCTTAGACCCATAAAGACCCTGTCAACACAACTCAAGCCAAAACGGCCAACCAGGAAGCACAAATCGGTCTTGGGTCCCAGCCGCCATATTTCAGGTTTGAGCGTCAACTCCGAAAATTCCTCAAATCCTGCAATTGTTAGGGCTTGGATTCTGGGTCCAGGGCTGCAGGTAATTTGTCTCAAAACCGCAGGGGGCCTAACATCTCACTGGCTGCCAGAATACCTGCCAACATCTCAGACACCTGCGCCTCCGCTGAAATTCGGAAAGCTCCTTCCCCGCATGGCCTGCCACCAGTCTGGACCAGTGCAAACACGCTGCCGTCTTGGCTATAAAAGAAGACAGCGAACATCTTAAGTCCTGCTTGAGAACAGCTCATGCTTGCACGACCCACACCATCATTGCTACTTGTATCGCAAAGCTTCTGAAATCGCGGCTGCTTGAGTTGCGCATCTGATGTGTTGACAGTAGAGGGAGCAGCACACCACCCTTGGAGTTTAAAGGCTCAGAGTTTCCCACAGGGTGTTCTAGGTCGCTTCGTGGTTCGTTTCGGGTTCCGCAGATGTACTTTCTACATCTCAAGATTGATTGCATACTAAGCCTCTATCCTCAGAGGAGTGCGGCAGGTTCAGAGGTTAAGTTGATCTACAAGTGTTGCTTGTGGCTGGGTTGGGTGGTACTCGGTGGCTGGGTGCTACTGCTACTCCCTACTACTACTCCCCTACTACTACTCCCTCCTCCTCCTCCTCCTCCTCCTCCTCCTACTACTACTACTACTACTACGGTTCCTACCCCTACTCCTACTTGTCCTCCTGCTGCTCCTGCGGCGAATGCAATGCCCAGCCTCCAGTAAGTCTCAACGTTCTCCACCATGGGGCAGCAACTATCATGCAAAGCAAAGGGTTCACGGCCGTGATACTTGCAGATTCATTGCCAACAAAAGTGACACAGAGCAGACTGCCTTCCCCGAGGTTCAGAATTTCAGCACTTGCATATTTGAAGTAGCAGTGGGTTTGCCAAGCTTGGCCCACGGCTTCAGCCATGCGGGCTGGTGTGGATGCCGGAAGCTGTGCCTACGATCTCAGCTTCTGTTGCGTGCATGTTTTTTCAAGACAGGGTTGTCCTATTTCCTGTATGCTCTAGTGCTAGAATGCTAGAAGTGTTACGATGCTGATGCTGACTTTGTGCAGGACTCTCAGCATTATCGTTGTCGCCATTTTTGTCGCCTCTTATTCCCGTAGGAAACACATTGCTAGATAGCACATATGCGACATGTCCTTCATTTTGTTGTACTATGTTCGTTGCTGTCGCTATTTCAGTACTACCTCAGTTGGCAATTGAGTGCGGGTCACTCATGGCGCTGCTTTTCGGGACCTTCTTGCTCTTGACCTAGCTAATCTGCTTTGCTATCTGTACTAGGGCACTTAAGGTCCAGGAAGGGGTAGTGATGCACGGTATCCGGTTTAGGTGGTGTAGTACAGTCGAGATGAGTTCGGCTTTCAGGGTGTATTGATGTTGGGTACACTACGAAGGCACCAGTTTCCAAACGACCTTGGCTGTCCTCACTTTTCTTGACAAGGACAACCTTCGAATTTCAAAGGCTTCCAGAAAGCATGCCCTATGCCTTGAATTGCCCACGTTATGCCGAACTGAAGAGACCAGTGCAAACATGTTACAAATTCCGAGCCCGCTTGCGGCTTAGTGGTTTAGGGTTTAGGGCCTGTTCATCCTGATGCATCAGCATGTCGGCTGCCAGCTTCTTTGCAAACAGCTTCACCGAGCTTCAACAGAGCAGCACCGCGAAGAGTGCCGATACCCTGACTGCCTTCGTAGGCCCAGTACGCAAGAGTGGCCGCATTCAAGGGTTCATCGTCTCTCCGACTTCCCAGCATCAATCGCCCTACACGTTGCGTACATTTGCATGTTTCCCCAGATCACCCGAAGGCCCAAACGTAAAGGAATGTACTTGCCTGTTGGCGGATGTATGGCTGTTCTCATGTCGAGGGACCGTCTTTAATGCACGTGTGAGGTGGGGCTTTGTTGGTGGGACATGCCTGCAGGCATCCGAAACCGATTGTGTATGCCGCGCAACGCCCCTGAACCTCAAGGTCAACGAAGCCCATGAGACGCAGACTTCGACGCGGTATGTAGGGCGAGGCCGTTCGAGCTCTGGAATTTTGGGCTTAGGCATGAAGAAGCCGTTTAACAGACAGAGCGGTGCCCACGTTCACCGCATGTGCATGTCCGTGCTCCTGGCAGAGAACGGCTGCTGAGACCCGTCACATGGTTGTTCGGTTTTCACTACGGAGTTTGGTGTGCTTGAAGCAGAACCCCAAGCCGAAACAGTGCTTCCTCCCTCAGCTCTATACCCGCCACCCTATGGCTGGTTTCTTCATCGAAGCTAGTTCACTGAATTTGATTTTGAACTCAGCAAGCATGCGTTGTTCTCAATGGGGTTGCCTGCCTCACTTCCGCAGGCTTTAATGACACCAGGTTTCAAAGAACTTTTGAGCCACATCTTTGCGGGGGCATGTTGCCGAGTCGCCCTGCGCTGATATAGCTGCGGGCAGCTGGGCCCAAACCTGGGGTGCTTCCCAGAAAGCCCATTACCTCTGAATTAAGCGGTACAGATTGAAAAATCCAAACTATATAGCGTTTCTTCTTATTAATTGCCTATGATACGATCCTTAATTATGGGGTACATTGGGCGCGTTGGGCTTTTGGACAGTTTCATCGAGCCTGACAAAGCAGGCAGAACCGCCGGCATCGGAGCCTCTCCAAACTCTGTTCCTCCACAGGTTTGGAGGTTGTAAAACTAATATTTCTGCCCCTAAGCCCTAAACCCCTAAACCCTAAACCCCTAAACCCTAAGCCCCTAAACCCCTAAACCCTAAACCCCAAACCCTAAACCGCTTTAGAAGGGGTGGGTTGGGCTTTGCAGGATCCTCACGGCTTCGATGTTTCGGGTTTGGAGGTTTCTCAAAATTGCGTGGGTCCCGTGTTTAAGCTTATCTTGTAATCACGATGCTAGACCGATGAACGACACTCTTGAGGTGCAGGACTTATGGTGTAGGGAGGGCTTGGGATTCTAAGGAACCTACCTTTTTAGGGCCCCCTAATATGATTTCTTTTTCCAAGTCCCTAAAAAAGGTTGGTTATCTGGGGTTAAGGTTAGGCTTCCCGAGCCTTACCTGCGACCCTGACATCTAGGCCCCGGCGCTTAAGCTCGAGTGTTCGGCTTCGGGTCTCGTGTCTTAGGCTTCGGGTTTTTGGGAAGGTGCAGGTTTAGGAAGCTTTGGTTCATGCACTTACTATACTATGGGTGCCCAAATAATTACTAATACTACTTTGGGGCTTCCGTATTATAATTATAGTGTAATGGGCCCCAAAACCCTATTCTAATTATTAAGGCCCCTCTATTATCTACTACATGGGTGTTTCCGAAAATAGGGGACCCTAATATAGTACCATAAATAGTAGGATAACTCCCACATGATAAACCCTCATGCCTCAACCTGCTTGAGCTTGCTACGACCTCGAAAGTTCACTGTGGGCGAGAGGAGGTTTCTTGCTGAGGCTCAGAGCAACCAGTGGCAGAGCCAGCTCAGCAGTTGGTTCTTTAGGTTTGATGTAAGGGCCTTTAAAGCTCCACGGTTTATGGGTTGAGGGCTCAGGGCTCCCGAAATCAAACGAACATAAAATGCCAGATAGGTTTCTCAAAGAGGCTCACTCGTTTGTAAGGGATGCCATGGAATGCTTCGGAGAGTATGATCCGGAATACAAAGTTTGCTTTCTATGTCGACAGGGCTTATTGGAGCACTTCAACACAGAAGGTGTAGTATACCGGTCCTAAACCCCAAACGTGCTTACACCTGCAAGATCCAAATCTAGAAACCCGAACTTGAAAATCAGTCCTTATACCCCAGAGCTTTCAGCCCTAAACCCTCCCACTCCCAAACCGCACACGGTCTAGATTTAAAGGCTGCAAAGTTTTGGGGTTTTGGGACCCTGAACCTGTAAGTCGAGTGTTACTTATCCGTAGCGTTTGCGAGACAAAGCCCCATGCAGGTCGTGGAATGCACACCTGGTTTCGACGCACCGTGCTGCAGCGTGCCGAGCTCAGTTGCTCCACGGCCGTGAGCTCTTCGTCTGAGGAGGGTTCTTGGAGTTGGCCTGCCAGGGCCGGCAAGCTCAGTGCAACCAGCAAAGGCTCCGGTAACAAAAGCCGGAACCCTGAACATGTGCAAGCCGTACAGTCCTGAAGCCCGATACCTTCAAACCGTCATTGTGAGGCCTTCAAGACTCCTTCTGAAGCCCTTGTAAACAGCCCTTGATCAAGCCTCAAAAACCAAGGCCCTTGGATGGTGTGGCCGATCCGCAGAACACTGTGTCCCTGGCGAAGTCTTGAAGCGACTTCCTCTACAGGAGTGAACACACGGCGGGGGTTCTGTTCTGCAGAAAGGGCTACTAAATCAGGTCTAAAGAGCACAGTCCGGCAAATTCGCACGAGAAACCCTGGCAGACTACCCAGAGAGACCCCCTCAATCCAGGGACGTACTTCAGTCTCCGACACTCGGGAACCCTAATCTACCCAAAACAGAGGGTCCTTCTTCTATGAGTGG